CCACCCCACACACACACACACACACCCACCCACAAATCCCCGCAATGTGTTCAAGTTATAGGGTCCGAGACTCGAACCATGCAGTCAGTCAGGTGTGATCCAGCCACCTACTGCCCGATAATCTGCACTTTTAAACTTAAAAGTACATTGCAAATATTTCTCACATTTTTATATTCTTTAAAAATATGGCTGTTTATCATATGGACATCTATAAAGTTTTAACTACTCCCTATCATGGGACATTTAATTTGTTAATTTCCCTGTTATCTTCTGGTATGTTCCTTGGTGGAGTTATTATAGTTAACTTTATATAGGCCCAGCTCATTTCTTGTTAAAGTTTATTCCCAGGCATTTTATAGCCCTTTTTTTGCTATTCAAAATGAAATATCTGTTTTTCTTTTTCTTTTTTCTTTTGTTTTCTAACCAACCGAGTTTTATTTGTTGCATAATAAACTGCCTAACATCTTTCAGGTAAAAAATGCTAAATTTGAATAAAGATATCACAAAATGAATTTGAGCCCCATTTAGCTTTGGGAAGGGAACACAGTTCTATTCAATTAAGGAAAACATATTTATAGAGCATAGATTAATTTATTTTTAACAGCCATCATGCCATGAATTCATAGGGAATAGGTTCCAGTAGCTCAGGCTCCTTTCCATTGGTTCTCACAGAGTGCGTCTCTGGGTGGAGCAGGCTGGCGCTTTAGTTGAATCCAGGTACCTTTCTCTTTGGCTTCTTGCTTTTTCTGGTTATTTCCCTTCACATGTTTTAGGAAGCTATCTCTGCTCTTAGAATGCTTAATACGCTCAATACACACATTAATTCTCTTGGCAAGAGTCTTGCCCTTGTTTGTTTACAACAAAGCCAACAGCATGCTGGGTAACACTAGACTCTTCCAGTTTTGCCATGGTAGCATTTGTAGGGCATTCCTTTTTGAACAGTACCCATTCCCTTGGTGTCTACAATATCACCTTTCTTGTAGATTCACATTTATGTTACCAAAGGAACAACTCCATGTTTTCTAAAAGGCCTAGAAAACATATATGAGTGCCTCTCCTCTTTCGCTTTGTGTTCGACATTTTGGTTAATTACTGGAATATGGTGGTTCTGCTGAAAAGGAATGTTTGTTTTTTTTATGATTTTGTCTATTTTTGTAAATATTTATTTTGAAATAGGCGCTTTCATTAGTTCTGACTGTTACTAGTGGTTCCGTTGTGTTTCCTAGGTAGGTAAGATTTTTTTCTTCTAATAATAATAAATATGCTACTTTCTTTCTCATAGTTATACCTGTTTCTTTTTCCAGAATGACATTTGATAATTGAGATGCTGGTGAACAACTTACTTAGTCACTGATTCTAGTGAGAATGTGTCTACCAGTTTCCCATGAATTATAATAATGCGTCCTTTGTTGTTATAATAGTTTATTAATAGCTTAAACATGGAGAGTTTAATTTTATCAGGTGTCATCTGGTATTTAAGAAAGATGATTATTTTGTTTTTTATTGTCTTGTTAATATTATGTAATATGTTTCCCCATATTCTTGGGATAATCTAGATTGGCCAATTGGTTATAGTCTTACAGTTTCCCACAATCAAAGCCCTCTTATCTAGCGCAATCAAGACAAGTAGTTGGTTGGCTAATTGAAATGCTGGTTAAATAGGGATTTGTTAAAAGTCACACTTATATACATACGTGTACGCATTTTAACATTTTATTTTAAACTAGACTCAGGTACCTTCATCTGCCAGTCATATGACACATGCCAAGCCACCTTTGAATTTTTTTTTCTTTTTTTTTTTTTGGAGAGGTTTTTGCTATAGGGCGCGTGCGCTCGCCAGACAGAGAGAGACATAGAGACAGAAAGTGAGAAATCACCCCCCGGGGGGATGGTCATGCTGCAATCTCTTCTTCTCCATTCTCCTCTCGGGATCTTGGGCACGCACGCACATGCACCCGACGTGAGTTTTAAGCCACCAGGTCCGGGACGCGAACCGCGGTCGACTACGTGGGAGTCCAGCGACATAGTCATTACGCTAACTGCTGGTTCCCGAGCCACCTTTGAATTTGAACATGTTGGCTTCAGTGTCATGTCATCTTCCTGGTATAAACCATAACCAAAAATCTATTACCTAGAATTTCTAGCTTTAAATTTATGAAAGTTTGATAACTGAGTAATACTTGCATAACTGAATGTAGAGTTCTTTTAAAGTTTAGGATTCCTCACAAGGTTCAAGTCCTGGTTCAAGTCCTGGACCTGGTGACTTGAAAATCACACTGGGCACATGTGTGTTTGTGCCCAAAATTCTGAGAGGAGAATTTGAGGAAAAGCGATTGCCGTGTGGCTATCCCCCTCGTGAGGTGATTTATCACTTTCCCTGTCTCTCTCCCTCTATTTCTTTTGGTGAGCACATGTACCCTATAACAAAGAAACCAAAAAAGCTTTAAAAAATTTAAGATTTGTCTTACCATACCTTTTATGTTATCTCTCTTGTGCTTAATTTAAATCACTTAAAAAAAGTCCTAGAAGGATTAGTTACATAGATATAACGCCCTTTCTTTTTAAATTTCAATCTCACATGTTTTTGCAACATGTGATTTATTTATCTAAGTTTCATATCCACACAGCTGGGGCAAATAGGTTTGGAAACAAATATGGTGGACTGTCTGTAAACATACAGCTCATCTGCTGGGAGCAGCAGCCTGAGTTGTAGGAACAGGATAGCTGTGGGCACTCACCTGGTCTGCTCTCTGGCAGGCAGGAGGGATAGTGTTTGTTAATCTGGGCTACGGGTAAGTTTGTGAGGAGAAAGAACTTCTATATATTATTGACTTAAATTTGCTATTACTGGGGCCGGCAGGTGGCATGGTGGTTAACGGCACTAGACTCCCACATGGCTGACTCCCACGTGGTTCAAATCCCGGACCTGGCAGCTTGCTTTCTTGGTGTCCCCCTTCCCCCACACTCTGTCCCTCTCTGGTCAAATTAAAGTAAATAAATAAATAAAGTTAAATAAAATAATTCTTTAAAAAATTTTGCTATTACTTATAATTTTTTCCTCTAGTTTTTGCTATAGGTTGTGTGTACTTGTCAGAGAGACGGACACATAGAGAGAGGGAGGGAGAGTAACAGATTTCTCCGGGGTTGGTCACGCAGTGATCCCTTCTCCTTCATTTTTCTCTTGGGCTTGTGGAGATGCATGCACCTGTGCCCAGTGTGATTTTCAAGCCATTGGGTCTGGGACTCTAACAAAGAAGGTGGCCATGCAGGATCCAGCCACCTTAACCTCTATGCCACCTGCTGGCCCTATTTAGGATCTTTTCTTGCACCTCTGTTTGTAAATATCATTTTTAGGCTGTCTTTGTTCAGCTTTGACATCAGAGTTCCGTAAACTATTTTTCAGGTGTGCTCTTGCTTTCTGTGCTCTTGAAGAGTCGCGGGGGCCTGAGAATTATTGTTTCTTAAAGGTTTGAAAATACTCTAGAGTCCCTCTTTATAACTCTGAATTATGCAAGTTGGAAATTACATGACATAAATATTTCAATAGTTCGGCTTTATGTACAAAATGGGTAATAAAATAAATCAACCTAAAATGAAAACAAAACAAAACAAAACGAGGCCCAGTCTCAGTGTCATTCACTGTGAGGACTCTGGTGCTTCATAGGCTGACACCACACGGGTGGCCCGAGTTTGATTTGCAGTCCAGCCTAAAGGTCAGCTGCAGTGGCGTGTATGCGTCACCCAGAGACTGAGGCGAGGCAGGATTGTAAGCTCGAAGCTGGCCTGGGCAACATACAGAGATGCTGACTGAAAAAACCGAGAGCGGCAGGGTGGTGCGTGCCTATAGTTTTAGCTGGGTGGCTGAGGCAGGGAGATCAGGGTGTGATGAGAGCCTATCAAGAAATGAACAGTCAGCTAAGTTTTAATTTCATTTTTTGAAGGTTTTTTTTTTTCCCCCTATAAGGCATGTGTAATTTTAAAAGGTGACGGAATTGTATTTATGGTTGAATTGGTGAATAGAGTATCTATCACCTTTTTTTGAGAATGGCGTTATACTATTTAAGTATCGACTATGAAAAGAGTTTTAGTAATGTATATCTTCTATAATTATATAAGATGCAACTGCCCTGTACTCACTTGTAAAGTGGGCCGAGCACCCTTTTGGGCAGGGGAGTCTTTGATTATTTTCTACTTCCTGAATCAATTTGGTAGATTAGATGTCTTTAGATATTTCTTATTGACATCGATGTGGATTTGTGCAATGTTACTACAGTAAGAGAAAATGCTTTTATATCTGTTCTGCTTTCATCTTTATCTCTAATTTTTTATGTTTTGTGTTATTTCTCCTTTTTCTTTATAGGCTTAATCATATTTGATCTATTTTATAGTTGCTACATTTAAAGAATTAGCTCTTTAAAAATTCTGCTGATATTAGGTTAGTTTCATTAATTTCTAGACTCAAGTCATTTTTAAACTCACTCATTCTAAAATTCATATATATATATATATATATGTATATTTGGATTTTTTAATGACTTTATCTCTTTTTTATTTAAAATAACTTGTTTTTCATGATATTCCTTCTTATGTATATCAAAATTCATACTGGACAATGAGTTTTGGGCTGCAAAAGAGAATTTACTTTTACACCTATCTGTAAGTTCGTTCACAAGATAGATAAAAACAATCACAAGTGCTATAAAATAACTTTTTTGAGAGAGGTTTTTGTTATAGGGTGCACATGCTCACCTGAGAGACAGAGGGATGGAGAGGGAGAGAGTGAGAAACCACACCCCCGTGGGGGACGGCCATGTTGCAGCGCCTTCTTTTCCATTCTCCTCTTGGGATTGGGCAGAGCCCAGTGTGAGTTTCAAGTCGCAGAGTCCAGGACCCAAACTGTGGTCGGCCATGTCGGAGTCCAGTGCCCCAATCACCATACCACCTCCCAGCCCCTAAAATCACTTTTGAAAGAAGATACTTGTCTCCATTTTTTTCTAAAAATTCTGGAGTTTTTCTTTCACACTTATGTACTTTAGCCTTCTGGAATTGGTGTGTGTGTGTGTGTGTGTGTGTGTGTGTACTATGAGACAGAGATTGAATTTCATTTTTTCCCCTCATATAGATAACCAATGGACTGATATCATCATAAAATGACTCTTACCTTTCTTACTGATATGTAATGATGGCTGTGTTGTGTATCAGTATGGGTCTGCTTCGAGGGTCTCTAGTCAGTTTCATTGGCCTGTTTGTCCTAATACTCCATTGTCTTATTCCTTATTGCTTTCTAATAAGTGTTGGTATGTGCTAGTAGCAGTACTCCACTTCATTTATTTCCAGGGGTTCCACTGAGAGTCTAGTCCTCTGCCTTTCTATCTGTTTCAGAAACAACTTGTCAGCTTCTTAAAAAAATAACCAAAAAAACTGTCAGCATTTGTGATTGACTTACAGTGAATCTCTAGATCCATTTGAGGGGAAGAGAGTTTTTAAAAAATAATGTCATTTTAACCGTGAACACGATATGTCTATTTATTTAGGTCTTTTTAAATGTCTTGCTATAATTTTTTATAATTTTATCCAAAAAGTCTAGCTATGCTTTATTTTTCTTTTTACTTGGATTAAAAAAAATAATTATTTTATTCAACATTTATTTATTTATTTATTTACTTATTTAAATTTGACCAGAGAAGGACAGAGAGAGACAGAGAGAGTGAGAAAGCAAGCCACCAGGTCTGGGACTTGAACTGTGGTCCACCTTGTGGGAGTCCAGCACCCTTAACCACCATACCACCTGTCAGCTCCTTTACAGCCCCTGACATGGATTTTTTAAAGGTACCATTTCTAATTTTTTTTTCTTATATATGAATGAAATTAATTCTCATATATTAATCTTATATTCAGAGCCTTTGCTAAACTCTCTTATTAAGTCTACTAATTTGAAGACTCTCCTGAGTTAACTATGTAGACAATCATATAATTTGTAAATAATTATAGTTTTTATTCTTCAGTACATGTTTTATTTATTTTTTGTCTTTACTATTTTCTTTTCTTGCCTTATTGCACTAGCAACAAGTTGGATGTTTTATTTAACTGGTTATAGAGAATATTCTTTTCTGCTTCTAATTCAAAAGACAATGGTTTCTTTTTTTTGGAGAGGTTTTTGCTATAGGGCGCGTGCTCTTGCCAGAGAGAGAGAGAGACAGAGACAGAAAGCTAGAAATCACCCCCCGAGGGGTGATGGCCATGCCGCAGTCCTTTCTCCTCCATTCTCTCGGGATCTTGGGCATGCATGCACATGTGCCTGGAGTGAGCTTAAGCCACCGGGTCTGGGACTCAAACAGTGGTCGACTACATGGGAGTTCAGCAACATAGCCATTAAGCCAACTGCTGGTCCTATTGTTTTCATGTTTCACCACTGAGTACAAAATTTATCAGGTGTGGGAACCAGCAGTTAGCGTAATGGCTATGTCGCTGGACTCCCATGTAGTCGACCGTGGTTTGCGTCCTGGACCTGGTGGCTTAAAACTCACACCGGGCGCGTGTGCGTGCGTGCCCAAGATCCTGAGAGGAGAATGAAGGAGAAGGGATTGCGGCGTGACCATCCCCCCTGGGGGGTGATTTCTCGCTTTCTGTCTCTATGTCTCTCTCTCTGTCTGTCTGGCGAGCGCACGCGCCCTATAGCCAAAACCTCTCCCCCCCCCAAAAAAAAAATTATCAGGTGTATTATTACCAGTTAGTTAATAGTTCTTATCATAAAGTCTTATTATTAAATCTTATTCAATTTTTTAAATGAGATCTGTTGAGGTGATCATATGATTTTCCTCCTTTAATCTATTAATCTGGTGAATTACATTAATAGATTTTTTTTTAGTGCTAAAACAACCTGCATTTTTGAGAAAACCTAATTTAGTCATGCTATATGTATACATATATAGTCATATAGTCATGATATATACATGTATATATATATGTAGTCATATATATATATATAAAACTATGCATATATATATATATATACTGTATTCAGAATGCAAATATTTAGTTTATAATTTTTTTGCATCATTTTTTATGAATGATAATCTGAAGCTTTTATTTTTATATTATTCTTTTCAGGTTTTGGTATCTAGATAATACAAGTCTTGTAAAATGACTTAGAGTCATTTTACGTAAAGCATATGTTCTTTTTCTAGTCCCTGAAACAATGGCACAAGAATTGCATTATTTGTTGCCTAAATATTTGATAGATTTACTTGTAAAACTGTCTAGACTTAGTATGCTTCTTGGGGATATTTTAAATTGCTGATGCAATTTTTAAAAATGTTTATAGGACCTTTGAGATTTTCTGTTTCTATGTGAGTCACTTTTTTGTGATTTATATTTTATAGGAATTTATTCATTTCCTCCTAAAAATATTGGCCTAACATTTTCATAATGATCTCTTAATTTTTTTAAACAAATTATGTTATTCATCTAGTTATGCCTCTTTCTATTCTAAGATTGTATTTTATTATTCTTGTCACCATTTGTCATATTTTTAAGTCTTTTCAAAGAATCAACTTTTAGTAGACCTGCTCTATTCTTTCCTTGCTTTCTAATTTATTTTCTTTAGTATTTCCTTCCTTCTATCTTTTGGAGGTTTGTTATATTTTTAACCTCTATGTAAACATTCAGGCCTATAAAATTCTAAGTATTGCTTTATGCATCCTAGAGGTTTTGACAAGTAGTATTTTTTTTGTTATTTCTTGTTGTATTTTTTGATTAGTTTTATTTATAATACTATCTAAAAATATGTTTTGCAAGTTCCTAATTTATGTTTTAAATTATCCTTTTGTTATTGATTTATAGCATATATGGTCCAGAAAATGTAGCCTGTATGTAATACTTAGAAATGACCTGACACTTGCTTCATGGCCTAGTAAGAGGTCAATTTTTGTAACTGTCCTGCATGTTGTTGTACAGACTATCTTAACTGCTATTCAGATGTGTTTCTTCTGACTCTTTATGTGTGTGATGTATCCATTTCTGAGAGTAAATTAAAATATCCTTGAAGTGACATTTGTCAGTTTTTCCTTATGATTTGGCTAGTTTTCCTTTATGTATTTGGTGCTGTGTCATTAGACACAAACAAGTTTAGAATTCTTACATTTTCCTGCAGAATTAAATTTTTTTTAATTTTTATTTTATTTTATTTTTTAGGTCTTTGCCATAGGGTGCATGTGCTTGCTGGAGAGAAACAGAGAGATACAGTGAGAGGGAAAGTGAGAAATCAAACCCCAGTGGGGATAGCTGTACCACAATTCCTTCTTCTCTATCCTCCTTCTAGGATTTGGGCACACATGCGCACATGTCTGGCATGATATTCAAGGCACTTGGTCTGGAACTCTACCTGTGGTTCACCATGTGGGAGTCCACCATAACGCCACTTGCTAGCCCTAAAAACTGAATCTTTTAATAATATGTAGCAATACCTTGACACTTACTCTGCCTTTTTAGAATCTCTACTAATTTTTTTTTTTTTTTTGTAAAATCTGTTTTGCTCTTGTTAATATAGCTATAGCAGCTTTCTTTTGATTAGTAGTACTTTTCTAGTGCATCTTTTCACTGTCAACATTTCTGTGACTATGTTTTAGGTGTCTGTCCTGAAAATAGATTGATTTTTGTTGTTGTTGTTATTGTTATTATTATTTAATTGCCAGATGGCATGTGTGCTTGCCAGAGAGAGACAAAAAGACAGACAGGGAGAGGAAGAAAGCACTCCTCAGTGGGGCACGCTTGTGCTGCAATCCCTTCTCTTCCATTTTTTTCATATCTTTGGGATTTGGGGCATGCACAAACACATGCACAGTGTGTTTTACAAGTCTTTGGGTTTGGGATGTGAACTGCACTTGGTCATGTGGAATCTGGTTTCCCTTAACCACTAGGCTATGGGGGGCTGGCCCAATTTAGTTATTATTGTTTAATACATTCTAACAATCTTTATTGATCCATTTGGACTTATTTCTCTTATCTTATTTTGTGTTTATTAGCCCTGCCCCTCCTTATTTCCCTAATTTTTCTTTTTGAATTGGAAAATATCCCCTCTCTTTTTCATTCCCTTTCCCCTTTTCAGTTTCAAAATTATATATTGTTTCTATCCTTTAGTGATTAGTATAGACATTTTAACATGCATATTTAACTTAGCAAAGTCTAAAATTTTATTTCTTTTAAATTTTTTTTCTTTTGAGAGGGTTTTGCTATAGGGCAAGTGTGCTCACCAGAAAGACAGAGACAGAGAGAGAGAAAGCAAGAAATCACCCCCCAGGGGGATGGCCATGCCACAATCCCTTCTCCATTCTCCTCTTGGGATCTTGGGCATGCACTCACACATGCCCGGCATTAGTTTAAGCCACTGGGTCTGGGACTTGAACCATGGTTGACTACATGGGAGTCCAGTAACATAGCCAATTATGCCAACTTCTGTCTTTATTTCTTAAAAAAAATTTTTTTTCTTAAAGTTCAATTTCAAACGATTTGATTTCTCCTGTTCTAACAGGTTTGATTTCTGCAGTTGGTTGGTTCTAGCTGGCTCTTGCTCATGGTGTCTTGTTCCTTATGTATTTCACTATTTTCGATTGTGAACTCATGTTCCTTGGAACTTTATCTGAGAATTCTTTGAGGCCTGGATGGAAGTCACATTCTTCCAGAGGGGTTATGTGTTTACT